AAAAGGGGGGAAAAAAAAAAAAAAAAAAAAAAAAAGGATGGGAAAAAGCAACACCTCACTAAAAGGATTAATCCTTAACGTGCCATAGAGGGGAGGTCTAAGAGGAGCATCCCTTTCCAAAGCCATAAGCAGACAGGGTTTATTTTGAAGTCGTGCTCAGGTACAGGCCATGGGAGACCAAAACTGCATTTCTTTTGTTTTATTGGATTATTTGCTTTTATCTGGGGGACATCCGAGGGGCTTCCTCCTGTCAGGTAAAGCCACTTCTGCTCTGCGGCCTCTGCAGACACACAGAAATCAGGGCGAGAAGGTTCATTATTGGTAACAGAGGGGGAAAAAAAAGCGGATTTTGAGCTTTGTCATCCATCCGCCCGTTCAGGAATGCCAGACAAACATTCCCAGCCGCTTTCTAATGCAAGAAGAACAGTGGGTCCGGCTGGTGCAACCGGGACTGAAGGCTTGGATCCTGCCTCCGGACCAGAAATTAAGAAAAAAAACCCAAAATGGTTCAAAGCTGAGTAATTCAGAGCAGGATCCGGATGGGGAAGAGCAAAGTGTAACCGGTCCCCGCACGACAGCGCTGCCGCCAGTGCTCCAGCTGCCGGGGGACCCAGCACCGCTGCCAGGGGCCGCAGGAGCGTTATAGGCGAGCACGGGGTTCTATAGGCGAGCGTTATAGGCGAGCACAGGAGCTATAGGCGAGCGTTATAGGCGAGCACAGGACCCTATAGCCCACGCTGGGTCCGCACATGCGGTTTCCTACGCCCTTCTGCCCTCACACCGCCCATATCTCCCCTTTTCCACCTTTTTGAGGAATTTTTGTTGTTTTTTTTTTTTTTTTCCCCGTGGACCGGAGCGGCCCTCGGACGTCGCGGAGCCTCCCCACAGCCCCGACGGTTCCCCATCCTCCCCGCGTGGGGCGGGATTTATTGCGTCTGCCCCACCGCCCCTGCTTACGTCACCGCTCGGAACGCTCAGCCCGAGCGCCATTGGCTGTTGCCCTCCCGGAGGTTCTGGCGTCACGCGTGACGTCACGGGAGGAGTGACGCCCGCTCAGGCGGGGAAAGGCTGCACCCCGGGGTGCCGCCGGCACCTTCTGCAAAGCGCAGGGCGAAATTATCTGGGGAAAAAGGGGAAAAAACGGGCAAAAAAACCGGGGAGGGCGCGCCTGGCTCTGCTCTGTTCCCTGCCGGGAACCTGCTGGAAGCCAGAGCCGGCCCAAGGCTAAAATATTTAATAAATACGTTATTAAACAAGAACAAAATCACTATTTAAAATTATCCTTATTTAGGGCGCGTTGCGCTTTAAAGCTTCGAATTTCTAAAAGAAAGAAAAGGCAGGAAAAAAAAAGGCAAATTTCTGTTTGGGGTAAGGGTGTTTTGGAGATTATTCGCCCTTTGAGAGTTTTTTGGGGGGTTTACAGGCAGGTTTTAAACACGACGCTGCTGCGGGGACTCTGCGAACCGACACGCCGCTGCCTTGAACCACCGAGGTATTAAACAAAGCAATTGTGTTTGTCGAGTTTGCGCTTCCCTGAAGCTGTAAATAACCCGAAAAGAGCAGAGCAAAACGCATGCTTGAGTATATTTACTTTCACCCTATTTATTCTGTTGAAAAGGATGACGGCGTTTCTTAATATTAACCAAGATCATTTAGTATTATACGGGGATTATCTTAGCACATGCTACGAAACGTATCGCTATAATTCTGTATTAGTAGGAGAAGGAAAATGTGTGTACAAATACACGTATATTAGCACAAACGAAAGCGCGTATGGAATTATACGAATTGCATTTACCTGTATCAAAATATAGGCATGAACATACATATGTCTATATGTACGTATACAAACACGTGTATATACAGCTTTATCTGAGTATATATTTATATCCACATATCCAGTACTATATTGCATGTATACGTGCATACGTTTGAGTAGCTAGGTATATATAAACACACGAACACAAATATCGTATATGATAAAAGGTAAAATAATGCGTGTTGCTAAATATCTGCATGTGCATACGTACATGTATATTTTATATATAACCGCGCAAAAAAACGTAGTACGTGCCTTCATAAATGTGAGCCTACGGGTACATATATGTCATACGCATATACTGTACATTCACGCAAACCCGCGCGTTTATGCAAACATTTCACGTGTGTTTCTCTATAACACACCCGGACTATATTTATTCTCCCTTAGACGCGCATTTTGATACTTCTGCCTGAATTAAGGAGTTTGGTTGTTTGGGGGTTTTGTTTGTTTGTTTGTTTATAAGTACGGCTTTTCGTTTCTAAAGACCAAATTCCCTGTGACGACTCCCCGCTCCCTCCAGCCCCGGCCAGCACGCAGGCGAGCCGGGAGTTGCCTATAGGGATTAATTAATGTAATTAAACCATTTTTTTTTGTTGATGGTGTGGGGTTTTTTTTCCTAAACTCTCTGAGGATGCGGTTCCAACCGAAGCGGTGGGAGCAGGACGTGGCAGCAGCGTTGTAAGGCAAGAGCAAACTGTACAGGGTCCTCTGCGTGCAAAGCGGGTGGGGATGGGGCATCTTCCGAATTCACCCTCCTTTGCCGGGGAAGGTGGGGAGGGGGCTTCACACTCCCCCCACCCACCCTGGGAGCAGCGGGGAGCGCTGCCCAGCGCCCTACCCCGGCTTCACCCCACCCGGGGGTGGGTGGGTGAGGGACCTCTCTCTCCCACCCCTGACAGTGCCGGACCCCCCCCCCCACCCCCCCCCAAGACCCCCAAAGGGGAGTGGGTGGGTGCGTGCAGATGGGGTGACCGTGTCCTCACGGGGTGCTGCTGCTGCTTTTGATTTTAGCGACGACTTTTTTCTCTTTCACCCGCCTGTTCTGGAACCAGATGGTGATCTGGCGCTCCGTGAGGTTGGTGGCGGCGGAGATCTTCCTCCTCTTGTCGCGGGTGATGAATTTGCTGCTGGCGTACTCCTTCTCCAGCTCCTTCAGCTGCCCCTTGCTGTACGGGACCCTCTTCTTGCGGCCCCGGCGAAAGGAGCAGCCGTCGGGGGGCAGCTGCCCGGCGGAGTCTGGGAATGGGAAGAGACGGGGGCTGAGAGGGGTCGTGGGGGGGGTCCCACGCACCCTGCACCCACCTCCCGTCACCTTTTCCTGCGAGAGGCAGCCCCCCTCTCTCCCTGCCGCCCCATTTCTTCCCTCCAGCCTCCTGACAGCGATGATATTTAAATTTATTTAAATGATACATTCTCCCAATTGCTATTTAAATACCGATTTTCTTCCCTGAATTTATTATTATTTGGGGGGGGGGGGGAAATCCAAGTATCGGCAAAACACCGACGTGGGTGACCCTGCGCGGCCGAGCAGGGCCGGGGGCGAATTTGATCCCACCGGCGTGGGCGGGGGTGCGTGGGAAGGGCCCCCCCCAGCCCTCCCCGGCCACGGCCCTGCACGGTGGGGGCCATGCGGACCCCCTCCCCTCTTTCAAGCCTCCCGATTCCGAGTGCGGTTGGCCCGCAGCTGCCGGGATGGTGGCTGAACCCGGATAGTATCACCGGCTGAACCCGGATAGTATCACCGGCTGAACCCGGATAGTATCACCAGCTGCCTGCCTGCTCGGAGGGCGATGAGTTGCAAAGGGCAGTGTTAATCTCAGTTATTATTTTGTGAAACCTACCTACTGGCTAATTTGGGCTAGCTCGCAAACAAGTGTTACTGGACGGCAAGAGCAGCTCCCCAGCAGATGATTGCGAGCTTTGGACCCAAACCCAAACCCCCACCCGCGATGCACCCACACCCCCTCGCCCCCCTCCCAGCCCCAGCACAGGGATTTTACCTGCAAAAGCGGATTTCAGGAGGTACCCGGCCTGGCCCTGCTCCTTGGGGCAGCACATCTGGCTGCTCCAGCCGCCTCCCAGAGCCCACGGCTGATGGTAACCGTCCACGGGCAGCAGAGTCTCATGCCTGGCTTCCCCCGGCCCCCCCAGCCCCGGTACCACCGACACGTCCAGGTAACCGGCGACGGGTTGATAAGGAGCCCCGTAACCGGGGTAGAAAGCGAATTCGGCGGGGCGGCTCTGGAAGTCCTCGCTGCCCGCGGGGGGGTCCAGGTACTTCTCGGTGGGGAAGGGGCCCTGGGTCGGTCCGGTTTTCAGGGAGCTCCGGGCTACTCGGCAGGAGTAGTAGCCGCTGCCAAAATATCCGTAGGGCAGCGGGGCGGAGGCGGCGGGACCCGGC